GAGAGAGAGAGAGAGAGAGAGAGAGAGAGAGAAAGAATTTGAGAATTTTTATAGAATTCTTTTACTAACTATCTAAATATAAAAGTGGGTTAGCCCACAATTAAACAAATCTTGTGAATGCACTTAAATTCACAAATAAACTATAAATAGATCAATACAAGTAAAAGTACAGGTCAAACTAGGTCAAAATCATTGTCCATTGTATGGAAAAATTTACATTTTACAAAGTTTTATACTGTGAGTGTAATAATGTGACAAATATCTTATCAGTACTTTAAATTTTTTTATGTTTGTTATACAATAGATTGAACAATTTTATGACAAAATATTTAAATCAATAATTAAGTTGTTATATTTTGTAAGTAATCATTTAACAATTATTAAATTAGTTATAAATTAATATAGGTTTATTTAAAAATGACACTACAGTATTACTTTTTTATTTCAATGGAGTTTCTATTTTTCTAATTAAAAGTCATTTTTATAAATTATTAAATAATCACAATTCTAATTAAAATTATTCTAGCTAACTTATGATTAAATGTGTCAAATGACATTTTTGTTTTTGAAAATACATAATAACACATTTTATCTAGAATAATGTTTTCAAAACTTTTATTATTTAATTATTTATAACATTTGAATACAAACGATTTAAGATATTTATTATTTAAATACTTTTTTTTGTGAAATATTTATAAATAATAGTAAAATAATTGTTTTAAATATTAGTTTACAGGTATTTTGTTTAAATTACTATTTTATTAAGCCATAATAACTACTATTTAATATTATATTTATGCCGTTTTTAGGCAGTTTTCATATAATAACAAATTTAAAAATATTTGATTACTATATTAATTAAATAACACTTTATAAATTATTATATCATAAGACACAATATGTTTACTACAAAAATAATTGTTATAATAAGTATGACTATACTGGCTAAAGTATACACAATAGTTGGTTGACAATTTAGTATATTAACTATCATTTGATGAATACTGAATTAAACTAAAACCTTTTCATTATGTAAATTACTTGTAATGTTAATGAAAATATCTATCACATACTCAATGATACCAATGTATTGACTCCACATAAATGAAAGTCAACGACAAACCAATAAAATTATAACAAAATTATTTTCCTTCAAATATAGCCTTGAATTGTTGTCTATACTAAAAATGTCATAACTTTTTGCTTCATAATAAGTTCATAAGAAATTCATATGCAATACAAAGTACACTATATTTATGCCATTGAGATAGTGCTGTGTGTTTAAGACATTGAGTACATTGTTATCAATGTTTTAAAAAGTTTTGTGGTTTGTGTCCAAAAAGTTTCTCATTTGTCTCAACAGCTTTTTTCGGTGTAACAGTGAAAACAGACACTAATTTCCTGACATTTTTATAAAAATTAATAAACATCCGTAATAATTATTTTTAATTCACATAGCTAACTTAATAATATAATATGTGCAGTGGATGAATACCCTGATAACTACAGGGAAAATGTCTCTCAATTTGTGAAGATGTGATTAACCTTTGATATCCGATTCAAAAATCATCAGATTTTTGTTTTTAGCAGCTATTTAATTATAAACATTTTTTTAACACAACAAAAAACTTTTTTAACCACCAACAAATTGCTTTAATTTTTATAAAAATTTATTAAATCGACAAAAAATTTTGCCGCAAACTATGGTATTTAATAAGCTATTCAAAGAGGACAACCGTAACGCACTGGTAGTGCTGTCACTGTTTGTATTCGTATTATCCATATATTTGATGCCTATTTGGCCATCACTTGACTTGTTTTATCACAACGAAGACATCGACAGAGACACTGTATGTATGGCTTTCATATAGACTTTGTTTTATGATTTTGATTTTTTGTCATTTGTAATGCTATGAGTTAATTGTTTTATGTGTTTATTGTTTATTATTGTGTTAATAATGCCAATAATAAACAATGTATTCTTAAATTATACAGTTTTTCAATAATAATAATTATTATTATTATAGCCGAGAGAGAGAGAGAGAGAGAGAGAGAGAGCTTTTGTCTATTTTTATATCTTAACTGTTTAATGAAAATACTAAAATGTTAAATCATATATTTTATTTTTAGAAAGTCTAGTGACTAATAATTAATAATTAATATGTATCATAAATTGCATATTAGGATTGCAAATGACAATGAATTTAATATAAATTTTTGGAGTTTACGTAATAATAAACTGAATACTTTTGCTTATATTTATTTATAAAATATATTATATTATCATTCATACTATGTATAATACACTATTTAAAGGCTCAAATCATAGAGTCCCGGGGCTTCAAAGCGGAAAACCATCGCATAACTACCGGCGACGGCTATATTCTGACAGTTACCCGGATTATTAACCCTCACGTCACTGACCGCTCGAAACTACGGCCAATACTATTACAACACGGCTACCAATGCAATGCCAACCTATGGATCATCAACTCTATGGGTGAGCTCACCGACGATGGCAAGTGGGTCGAGGATAACAATGACGGCCCGGTAGGCAATTGGAGTTTACGTAAAAATAAACTGAATACTTTAGCTTGTAATTATTTATAAAATATATTATATAATCATTCATACTATATATGATACACTATTTAAAGGCTCAAATCATAGAGTCCCGGGGCTTCAGAGAGAGAGAGAGAGAGCTTTTGTCAATTTGTATATCTTAACTGTTTAATGAAAATATTAAAATGTTAAATCATATATTTTATTTTTAGAAAGTCTAGTGACTAATAATTAATAATTAATTATGTATCATAAATTGTATATTAGTATTGCAAGTGAAAATGAATTTAACATAATTTTTTGGAGTTTACGTAAAAATAAACTGAATACTTTAGCTTGTAATTATTTATAAAATATATTATATAATCATTCATACTATATATGATACACTATTTAAAGGCTCAAATCATAGAGTCCCGGGGCTTCAAAGCGGAAAACCATCGCATAACTACCGGCGACGGCTATATACTGACAGTTACCCGGATTATTAACCCTCACGTCACCGACCGCTCAAAACTACGGCCAATACTATTACAACACGGCTACCAATGCAATGCCAACCTATGGATCATCAACTCTATGGGTGAGCTCACCGACGATGGCAAGTGGGTCGAGGATAACAATGACGGCCCGGTAGGCAATACCCTGGGCTTTGTATTAGCGGTCAATGGCTATGACGTCTGGTTAGCTAATATGAGGGGAAATATGTATTCATTACATCATACGAGATATAGGAGTTATGGTTTGTATTTATTATACACTATTTTGTATTTTGTCTGCCTGTCCACTACATAGTATAATGTCTACCAAATAGATCCAATTTTCTGGAGGTTTTCCATCGATGAGATGATTGATTATGACTTACCGGCGATGATATCATACATACAAAAGGAGACCCAAAAAGGTTTGATTTTTAATAATATTATGCTTTTATAAAAAAGTTAATGATTATAGAAATGAAATTAAAAGTTATCATAGAGTACCCTATGTAAAAGTGAATTTATTTAAAATAATAATATCTCTATATTTAAAAGGAAAGTGAAAATGAGTTTAGTATTTATTACAACATTTCTTTTATTTTTGTTTTGTTTATATTTTTATAATTAAAACTTTCGCTTAATCTTATCATCAGTAAGCTTTTTGGGTCAATAAAAATAATACACGCGATATATCCATTTATTACATAACAATTTTTGCTAATATTTTCTTCAAATATATTATTAAATTATTGCAAAACTAGTAATTTATATCTTTTAATTAAATCATTTCAAACTTAATAAAATATTCTTAGATATATAAACAATTTTTATTAAATCATGTATATATTACAGTATATTTATATCATTTGATGTACATTTATTTAACTTTTTTCATTTACCTAATTATTAGCAAAAGAATATTTTCATTATTGCCTATAATGTATAACGTTAGTAAGCTTAAATAGAAATTCTATTTATAAATAAGTTTTTACAGTTGATATTGCATGCATTTATAATTTTTCTAGTTTAATAATTTTAAATTAAATAGATAATATTAAATAAATCTAATTCGTAGTAGTTAGTAGGTTTATAAAAAAAAGTCGTTTTTGAAACAAAAGTTAGTATTTTTATTATACTAAAATATGTTAACACATGATAAATGAAAAAGTGAATAACCTCGAGGGTAACAATATTTTTATCACTGACCCTGACACTCTAACATTGACCTTGCTTTGTTGTCTACATTTTTACATAATATTTACTGTATTTCTTGCCATTTCCAATTTACAGAGCAACTATCATACATAGGCCACTCCCAGGGTACTATAATGATGTTCGGACTATTAGCCAGTCAACCCCACTACTCCAATATAATCAAGCCATTTATAGCCATGTCACCAGTGCCATTTATGGGCAACTCTACCTCACCACTAGTACAATATGGGAGTTATATATTGTCATTTCTCAGGTGATTCACAAATAGTTCAAATAATAATTTTTGATTATTATTGTTTTACATTTCTATCCTGGTAATTTTATATTCAAACTTATTGAATTAAAACACTATTTTAAATATTAATTACAGTAAGTTGTGATTTAAATTCAAACAGGACTACTGAGACCCCGTTCCTATTACTTGGAAGGGCGCAGAAACATATCGCACATTTATGTGACACCAGCTACATAGCCAGGGTCATTTGTTACCGGGTCATGTATTCGTGTTTGGGCTATCAGGAGGAACAATTTAATTTCGTACGTATTTCATATACTTAATAATCACATAATTTTCACTAATATACAGATAATTCTTAAATAAGTTCATTTTTTAATATATCAAACAATGGTTTCTATGTAAACCCAGAGCTAGACTAAAATAGGTTTAATTTTTTACCCAGAATATTCTGTGTATTATTAAGTGCAATATTATAAATATTTGATAAAATATTAAAGACTTGAGTATTAATTACTATTTTTGTTTATACCATATATTATTAAAATTAATTTTATTTTCAACAATGGTTTAGACGCGGACTGGCGTATACGTGGCAAACTTGCCCGCGGGCTCCAGTAGTTGGAACGCCGCCCACCTCTTGCAGATGGTCTACTCAAATCGCCCGCAACGCTATGATTACGGCAATAACGAGACAAATACTATGAAATACCAGTCCCACGAACCACCCGTATATGACATGTCTGCCATCAACTCCACTAATATTGCACTCATTTATTCGGCTAATGATTGGTTGAATCCCGTTCCGGACGTCGAGTATCTTAAATCACATTTAAATGGTATATAAGATTTTAATATTATTTTAAGCTAGGTAGTTATAATTAATGTTATTAAGTAAAGGATTGGATTGTGGAACAGTAGTGTTTATAAATATTTAAAAATTTATATTAAATATAACATTAGCCGAGTTTGATAACACTGATCATATAGTATAGAAAACCATGTATAGTATTGTATTTTTATTTCTAGTAACTAGTTACGTTAGTTAAATAAAGTAAATAATATTTTTAAAATTTATAATCAGTGGACATTATTAAAATTAAATTTAGTAAAACATAAAATTATTTCAAATAAGTATATTAAAAATAATTGTTATGTTGTAATAAATAACTCATGAAAATAATTTAAAACTATATTTTAGTGAAATTACTGGACGACTATGAGGTGCCGGACCCCACATGGAATCACATGGAGTTATTATGGGCATTGGAGACTGGTCAGTTTGTGAACCCACGTGTATTGGAAATATTAGACAAAGCTCATAATACTAATACTAATACTAATATTAACATTACTCAAACAAAGATACCAGATATTTTTACCAAAAAGTACATCGACGTAGAATAATTGCTATTATTTTTAATATTTAATATAATTTTTTATATCATTAAAATTTGAAATACTCATTAAAATTAATGTTTTGTAAAGTATTTCAAAATATTTCAAATTTTTTTTACTCATAAAGATCTTAAAAATTTTAATATTATGTAAACAATTTATGGTATGATATTTTTAATATTTAAATATAATGTGAACACATGTACTCATACATTTTATAGACAATTTGATATCAGTACTGTATTTAAATAAATAAGCAATTTTATTTAAAACTAAAATTATTGTAATTCCTTATTTAAATTAATTACATTATATTTATAAACTGCATTGTAATGCAATTTATTGGCAAATGTTATACATTTAAAAACCATTTTTAACTAATGCCTACTTTAGAACATTAAAGCATGTGATTAGTGTATGATTTAAATAATTGAATATTTATATCACAAAACTTTTTTGTTTAAAAAAACTTTTAACATTATTAAAGCATTACAAACCTACTAATGACTCGTTTATATAGAGTTGTGGTATAAATAGTATACATAAACGCGTCAATGAGTTGTAGTAATAAATAGCTTAATAGTCTTAAAACAATGTCCTTGGCAATTGTGCAATATTGCCCCATAATTGTCTCAGTGAAGTATTACTCTATATTGTGTTACATCTGTTACAACAAATTATTTTGTAAATTAAATTAATTTTGCAAATTCTTTATATTTTTTAATACAATTTTTTTAAAACTATTTTTTAAATTAAAAAATAATTCCTTAAATATTATATAAATTTATAATAATATTTAAGTGCTATTGGCCTGAATAGTTAACTTTTATTATAACTTACTGTTTGAATAACTTACAGTAGTAAATAGTATACCATTTATCACAAATTATTTATAAATTGATAGATTTTAAAATTTTATATCTGTAAAGTAATATTTAATTTAGATTGAAATATTTAGTGTAATTCAATTATTGTAAATTAATTCGTTAATATCTCTTAGATCTAAATACACGCCTTTATTAATGTACACAATATCTAGTGATAAAATCTGTTATCAAACTAAATGTTCAATAATTATATTAATGGTTAAACTGTTTGTGTGTACCGTTGGTATTGACAGTGAAAGTGATAATTACTGCAAAAGTTTTACAATGAGGTCAATAACAATAGATATGATTTGAAAGTAGTTTTATGATAAATACAAATACAGTATATTAGTAATTGCATTTTACAAAAAATGATATTTTTTGCAATTTATATTTGAAAAATATTTAGCATTAATAACTTAAAATATTTTGTCAATTATATTTTATTAAATAATACTAAGAAATTAAATAATTATTATTACTTCGAAATATACAAATTAATATTTAAAATAGACAGCACTAGTAAACCAAAACGTTAAATTAATTTAACATAATAAAGAAATTAATTATTTAATAATTTTATACTTACAGTCTATAAATCTAAAAATCATATAAATTAAACTACTTTAAAAATATTTTTATAAAATCAACTTTATTTTCAATGAACAAAAATGTTAATAACAATTCATATAAATATTACCTACAATTGTTTATCACAAATATTATTCAAAAACATAATTATAGTATTATATAAACTCATTATAAAAAATTTCATTTAATTTTTTCATGGACACAAAAAATCTGTCAAACTTTTCATAAAACTAATTCATATATAAAAATACATTTCAATAACTATAATATAAAAATTATTTATTACCTAATCTAATATGTTTATATAAATAATACCTACAATTAATTGCTAGTAAGTTGTTATATACTACTAATTCATATCATAACACATAATATCATAGAAACCCCATTATTAGGCATATAATCAGCAAAAGTATTTCAAACTCAAGTAAATCATTATTATTGCCATTGATTTGTTTATAACTAGTCTTGCGGACCACACCATCGACACCGGTACCATTCATACTACCAGTGCTATCGAGTCCACCATAAGTTACCGGTGCTGTTGATCGCACCTGAAGTCTCGTATGACATGCCCTTGAAATTGGATTATATTCAACACCTGTATTGACGAGACTTTTGGAAAAATCCATAAAAATTAATGTTTTTTCAAAACTTTTAATTTATAACAAAAATTATTTTTAAAAACTATTAACTATATTCAAGGTAAACGATATTAAAAATTTAATATTTTCTAAATACCTGTAATTATTATTGACTATACATTGCATAGGGTTTGTGTGAATACAGGTGTCACGGGAGTGACCACTAGTTTTTAAACCCTTTTCACAGTTCATAGTCTTATTATCACATGTTATATCAATGGATACAGTGGTGATAGTGTTGTTACTATCCATCAACTGCTGACCACACATACCGGTGCTGTCCATAGCACCTGATGATTCACATAATATCATAGGCCAGGCGTTTATGACACTACCGTCCACTAACTCATAGCCGCATAACACGTATCCAGCATTGAATGCAATGCATATGAATAGCAAACAACAGTAATTAATACGATTTATTTGATTCATTATTATTATAGCAACTAATATAACACTTCACAAATAATTCAGAAATATTTTTCAAACAATAAAAACACAATTCATTGCAACAGTAAAGTGAAAGACTTTTCGTTGCATTTAAAAGTATTATAAGTTTTTGCAACGAAAATGTAGTTTTATTTCATTACTTATTATAATAAGAATAGGAAATGAAATGTTTGAACGAATAGTTGATATGATTTTTGTATCCCAGCGCTGATCCGGGATTTACAGCTCATGTGTGTTGTGTTGAGGCTCAGGGAGACTGTGAGATAAGCACCGGTAGTCTTAAGGTTTTAGTATTAGTGAAACTTTTATACGAGACACAGGTACAGTATATGAAAAATGTAAAATATTTGACATTTAATTGATTCACATTTTTCAAACTCTATTAGCAGTACATGAACTGTAAAATCAAATTATATTTTCATAAATGAGTTGTAAAATTGTATTCATAGATAACAGTTAATAAAGTGTTGAACATAAATAAATTAATATTATTTATTTAAATTAAATTATGTTAGTTACAAAATATTACTCATAATATTTATTATAACTAGCATACATTTTAATTTATTGTGAACAAAATATAAAACAATATAATAATTAATTATTCTATACCAAAAATAAAATAGACTTAATATAAAATATAAAACTTTGTTATATATGCACGTATTGTATATACAATAGACTGTAAGGCAACGTGTATTTATAGCGCACATGTACAGCTCATTACTAAAATGACAATACCCTGACATAATACTTATGCGCTCATGAGGTACGGTATATGTGCACTGGTATACCAGTTTTACAGTACAGTAAAGTATGTGTGGTATTAGTAATATAAATGAAAGTGAATGTTAGATATAATAACTTGTAATCTGCGAGACATAAATAAAGCATAGGTTTTGGCATTGATTTTGTGGTATAATTAAAACTAATGTTATTTTTTATACATCATTAGCGCGAAATTCAAAGTCTATATAAATATGAATAATTTTTAAGAACTTCAGTATATTAGCCACAGGACTTAATTAATGGTTTTGTTTCATTAAATAACATAATTAAAAATAATTGTATAGTTATAAGTACTTTGAATTGAAAACGTATAGTAATGTATCATTTTGATTTCTGAGTTAAATTTTATAAAAATATTTTAATTATTCAATATTGCATATAAAGCTTCAATTGCTTGTTCGCTGGTTAAACTACTAATAAATCTTTCCATGCTAACTTCCCAGACATTTTGTTTTCTTAATATATCACTACATGAAGGTCTCTTATCATAACCAGGACTTACCATGGTCATTATAATTTTACTCAGCTCACAAATATTGAGTGAAATTGATTCATCAAATTTTAAAGTTGATGAATCCCTTAATTATAATTACATTAATTATTTTAAATATTAGTTATACACTATTAAATAATATTTACTTACTCAAATTTGCAACTAAATATCTCCTGGGTAATTATGGCTAAGCTATAGATATCTGTTTTAAAAGTTATATCGTTAATTCCGGATAATAATTCAGGTGACATATACTACTTTGAATTATCATTTATATTTATCATCCACGTACAAAAATCGCTAATTTTATACATGACTTGGAACCCCATTTAGTATTGACTAAAATATTCTCAGGTTTTAGATTTTTATGAATGATTTGTGGATTCAATTCATGCAAATACTGAACACATTCTAAGATCTTTCGAAATATTGCACACGAGATGTATTACTCGGACACATCCATGACATGACCGGGTAGTCGACCAGATTCCTGTTGTTTTGATGAATAAAATCTTTATGATTTTGCGTAAAATACTCCATTTGTATACAAATTGGTTTGGACTCCACCCATAAGTCATAAAATATTATTATACTTGTATATTCCGAGGTAATTTGTTTTAGTTTGCCATGCTCATTAAGTATAAGGGGTTTTCATAATTTTTGTCAGGTAAAATTAATATCTAAAATACATTTTACTCGGAAACCAATAAAGATATCGAAAAGATTTTTAAACCTCAACTATGGATTTTTCTTATATGTATTCACAAGAATACACCACTGGATTGGAGCACCGGTAGGCCGGCACAGGTAGGTTTTCTATATAGCAATAACTACATATCATAGAGAAACAATCAGCACGGCGTTGGAAAGAGCATAATAAATGATCGAACCCATCTATCAGGATTTACCTGGTAATTGTATCATTAAGGGACAGGGAGGCACGGTAGGTTATAATATTGAATAATATTTAGAAAAATAGAAGAAATTATAAATTTGACTTAATCATCAAATTGTACTCAAAAATTAGATATTTCCATTTTAAACCATTATGATATCTTAAGAAATAACTTATGTAGAGCACTTCAAAATTAATTAATTTTACAAATCCAGCAAAATTGTTATAAATTTCAAAATGCTCTAGCTAAGATATTAATTGAGATATTCTAAAAATTTCAAATTTAAATGTTATTCATATTTTGAGTAGTTTTAGTTGGTTTGATCAAATTTTGGGTTTAAAACAAATTTATCAAAATTTCGATATACCGCGCCTCCTTGTCCCTTAATGATACAATTACCAGGGAAATCCTGATAGATGGGTTCGATCATTTTTTATGCTCTTTCCAACGCCGTGCTGATTGTTTCTCTATGACATGTAGTTATTGCTGTACAGAAAACCTACCTGTGCCGGCCTACCGGTGCTCGAATCTAGTAGAATCTTCTGGGGAATACATATACGACAAATCCATAGTTGAGGTTTAAAAAACTTTTTGATATCATTATTGGTTGCTGAATAAAATCTACCTGACAGATATTATGAAAACCCCTAATACATCTANAATGATTACATAAATGAAAGTTTCTTAAATTTGGGACAACTTTTGACGTACTTATCGATCACTTCTAGTGTAGTCTTTGGACCAATTTTTGGATGAAATAATTCAATGGTTTTTGTATTCAATTAATGATTTTATTTATATTTTTATATAACTTAACCCTGGTTATCAAATAAAAATAGCTCATAATCTGGTTCTCGAAAGCAACTTTGCCTGATCACAGACTTGTGTTTGCAGTCATAAACTACAGAATATTCTGTGATATGACTGTGAATACAATTATCACTCAAATTGTGTTTACATTTCCCAATTGTAAGGCTTTTTAATTTTCTCAGTTTCGACAATGAATTCAATACATTCTCATTGATGTCAATGTAATCAACGGATAGGTATTGAAGTTTAGGAAACTTTTTGTCGATATTCACGAAAAATGTGTCGTTTATATAGTTATACTCAGAATGTAGTGTTAAATGTGTTAATCGTTTGCATTCATTGAGTGATTCATATAATTCTGTATTCATTTCCAAACGTTTCAATCCTTTGAAGTAATCGCGAAATAATAGTTTCATTTCATTCAATACAATGCAATCGTTTGCGTGATATAACTGAAGGGAAAATGCTTTAAGATTTGGTAAACTGACGGCAATATCGCGTAAAATCTGCATTAATACCATCATATCGTTGTCCAAATGACTCTCAACTACTTTCAAATCAATTAATGCCTGCATTTGTGTCAAGCAAGACATGAGTGCGGTATACGACTCCAACTCCATGTCCCAAATGGTCAACACCAGTGATTTCAAACCATGCTTATAGTGTTTGGCAAACATGTCATAATAACTGGTGACAATTAGCCCAGGTTAGTTGAAATTTAGTTAACTTTTCATATTTCACAAGATTTTCATCAGTGAATAGCTGTTGAATGCGATGAAAAGTACTGAATTCATGCAAATTCACGCATTCATTCAAATAGCGATGAATATTATTATTATTATCCAGGTTATTTGCGGTATACGAGTCAATGTGATAGCCGTTAATGTGTTTCAACTGTTTGGCAAACTTTCCGAAAAATTTCTTAATATTTTCAGCGCTTATATAGTCAGTGAGTATTGAGTCTATAAAATACAAACGATTGCAGTGTTTGATAATGAGTTCAAACATATTGTCGTATAACTTGTGTTTGTAATTAAATGACTTGTAAATGGATGTAATGTTTGCACACTTTTTCAATATTAACTCAAATTGTGTTAAATCCGCAGATTTTGAGTAGAGTTTGAGCTGAACGTAGAGTTTATGGGTTAATAATAACTCCGATTGTGTGGTGAATATCACTCTCTGGCACTGTTTGGACAGACATTCGCATCGGAATCGGTCCTCAAATGATAGGTAACTCAACAGCACTTCACACAAATCATCGCCGAAGCGGTCGATACTGTCTTTCGGATAGACTTTCTGTGCATTCATTGTATGACTACTTCTTGCGGCCATTCCTCGCCTCTTATGCGACAATACTTTGCTATCAATTGAAGACAATTTTATGGCATTAATTGAGTGTTGAATACAAATTAAATGCAATTATTTTCAGTGACTTACTGTCAATGGATATCAATATTGATGTATGAATTGAATGTAAACCTCGGGTGCAGTGAATACTCGTCACACAAACATGTGTTTCAATACTTTCGGCGCAATCGATATAATCACTACAAATTGACTCAACTTTTGCACTTTCATGCTTACAATTTGTATAATAAATACAAATTTGTTTAATGAATTAAATGTACAAAACGTTGAAAACACTATGAAATGTGTTTATCGTGTTTACAAAATATCTCAATAATGCCATTGAATACCGCAAATACAACAATGAGTGCCACCTCTCGCTACCTAACCTAACCTAACATACCGGTGATATCTCATTACAGTGAAAAAGGCATAAGATGAACCAGGTCTTGCCAGGGCATTTAGTTCATACAACCAATGAAAAGGTATTGCGGTGTCACAAACGATGTCTCATTTTTGAGTGCATTTTATTTGAAAAACCCGTTTCAGTTTGAAAAATGACAACATAATAGTTGTACATTTTTGTTTGCGCCAAACTGTAAGCTGGCAACCATTTGTCCGCCGCCTATAAGCATATTATCTCTAAATATAATTTCAATAATAATGTCAAACAATTTAGTGGACTGTTGTTTAATGTTTTGATTTGATTCCTAATAATGTTTTTGGTAATTGTGTCCGACATGTGACCAGAATAGGTGATAATTGGATTAAATTGAATTTAACTGAAAATCCTGTTAGTTATGATCATAATTATTAATTTGTAATGATTTAAATTGTCTTATTATGTCGATAATAAACTTTTTAAACGTTTAACTAATGTATTATATAATTAAATTTTACTGTATGTGTTTTTGATTAAATATTTTATCAATAGTTGTCTCCATTAGTACTCATAATGGATGTTCGCCAGTTTGCAAATACCAGATTAGTATTGATAGGTGAATTGGCATGAATAAATAACATTTTGCACAATAATATATAAATCTGATTGCTCCTGGTCACCGAAAAACCCGAAAAACCATTTGGCTATTTAATTTGTAATCGATACTAATGTTAATCCAAAAATATTAAAAGAATTTCAGTGATTCAATGGTAATGTGTCGCACACTTAATATTTTGTACCCAGGTTCTAATACACTTTCAGTTCAATTATTTTTTGCTTTATTTTCTGCTAAATTTGGATAAATCTGATGTTATTTTTAATTAACTTAATGTAGTATACAATTATTATTACAAAATATACAATTAAAGTACCAAAAATATAATAACCAAGGTAATTTAAAGGTAATTTATATTATTGGTTTGTTGGATTTGCAATAAACTTTTATATTACAGTCTGTATAAAAATTTCATATAATTATCATATGTACAGTATAATAATATTGATATAATTAAATTAAT